GGGCACTGCAATCTTAAAATTATGTTAATTTATTAACAAGCAAATAATTTTATAACATTGATCCTTATAAAATTGAAATAAAATTGAAATTACAAAATAATTAAATACAATAAAATTTGGCAAATTTGACAAATTAAATAAGTTATAAAATTAAAATTAAATTAGGTATACGAAAAATGATTAAATTTTGTCAAATAATAAACTTTAAATAAAAATTGAAAAAAAAAAGGATCACAATCGTCAACACAGATAAAATAATAATCTACATTAATTATTTAAATATTCCTGAAGCGAATAGAAACATTTTTTAATGAGATACTCTTTTAACTTTTTTTTAAATTTGATTACATTTCTTTCTTCCTTAATATTATTGGGTAAATTATTATAAATTTTCACCAACATTGCTAAAGGGTCACTTCGAAACATTTCAATTTTACATATGGGCTTGGCAAGCTGTATTTTTGGTCTTAAGTTTTGTGGGCGGGAGTGGTATGGAAAGAGACTTGGGTGCTTTCTAACAAAATCACAAGCCGCATAAATATAAAGGGAAGGAAGAGTTAATATTTCATACTCTGAGAAGTATGGTTTACAGCTATCTGTTACTTTTATATTAGCAAGCACCCTTATGCACCTCTTTTGTGACCGGAAGAGCTTCGTTACATCTGTACTGGAACCCCACAACACTATTCCATATGTCAGCCAGGCGTGTGCATAGGCAAAATAAACGCTCATAGCTGATTTTAAGTCTGTTAATTTTTTTAGTTCGCGTAATGCATAAGAAAATCTTGACATCTTCATGGCAACTTTATTTATGTTACAAAGAGCAACCCCTAGAGTATCTTTCTCATTCTTCTCAAGGGAATCTGCCTTACGAATGAGCTTTTGAGTTTACCCAATATGACGATTTCAAATATATATTGTATATATATATAATAATGCTTACTTATGAAATAAAGATTAATTTCATTTTGATATTTTACTATCTTCATTATATTCATATATTTTTAGTGAAAATACTTCATCCATCCCACTGCTCGACGCGGATCTTCCTCTGAGGCGATGGTTGAGACCACGTATTACGGACGGCCGTACGCGCCTGGCCGGTCAGAGCTAGAGTTCAGAGGAGAATGAATAATTCAGGAGCTCTGATTGGCCGAGCGGCGTAGCGACCCATTGGTAAGACCGGTACGACGTGGGAGACACCGTACTGGTATAAATATAAGCGATAATTGTCATCACTTTAATCACCATCAATCACTCTCACTTGTTACAATTTCTTGTTTTATAGTCCACTTCAGATTAAAGGAAGTTTCATTGATATCGAAGAAAGATTAAAGCAGGGCAGTTCAGTTTGGCTGACTCCAATACCACGGAAGAAAAAAACAATGGAAGGGCCTGAAGCCTGGATTACTATGAGAATCGATGTCGTCAAAACTCACACATTCTTATTTGAAACACTACAAAATCTTAATATTAATTGGTCGTAGTTTCAAATTTAAAAAGAAATAACAAATTCTGGATTGTTAATATAATTTAAACTTTACCCTGTTGGTATATCGTTGAAAGTTCAATATCATTAATCCCTACAACGTTTTGATATTATAATGAAATTTCAATTAATGTTATGTCATGTAGCGGTTAATTGCAGGACGACGAACTGGAGTTATTAATTTAATTCTCCAAAAAAGAAGCGACCGTATTGCAGGAGTATAAGCTGTATTTTCGTTTCTAGTAAAAAAAAAATTTTTCGATAAGCAGAAAATTGAATATGTATTAAAGTAAGACTTTCCGATGATATAAAATATATATGGAATATCAAATTGCATCGAGTATATAATCAAAAATAGAGATAAAATGTCATTTAACTTGGCTGACAACTATTTCACCGAATAATTTCGGCGACAACTGCGCTCCGATTGGCCAGCCCGCATCCAAAACCACCGAATGGAACAGCCCCCCATAGTTAGAGATGTTATCTTCTCGACGTACACACAGGCCAGTTGTTGGCGCTGTACTATTTCAGCTTTCTAATATGTGATTTCATAAGATAAAAGTGATGATACAAGGGCCCATTTGCCTGATACGTTGCCAGGAATGGATGGCTCTTATTTAGTCTCTATTTCTGGTTATATACTTGATGTGTCATTGTAATACGAACTTAAAAGTGCCAGTCTGTAATCGAACGCTCTACTTACTGAACATTTTTATTTGTAATTCGATATACATATAAACATACTATCTAGTGGTTTCGTGGAAGTTGTCTTCTGTAGTAATCCATATGCTTAGTAAGCATTATTGAGTTCATAATAGGCAATGTATATTTAAATAGAAAACCACCGTGAGACCTTGTGGAAGAGAAGTTTAATTTCGTCCAGAGAAGTATTCCACTCTACTTATTTCTGCTGCCAAGCAGTAGTGTCATCATTATTGCGTTCCGATTTTGAAGGATGCTTGTGAAATTATAAGCACATGGGACTTGTCAAGTTATGTCTCGGGGTGAAGGACGCAGTGGCAGTGCCCCTCAGATCTTTGCGATTCAAAGCTCTGAGTGGCACTGCAACTGTTCTGGACAGGCGTGTAGCTTACCATCAGGCGCATGACTTGTTCGTCCCTTCACTTGATATTATGAAAATAACTAAAGTAATGAATAACTCACGTTTCGAGTTCTTAGGTTTTCGCGATTGTTACACATAGGAAATGAAACTATTTTTCCGGATTTAAATCGCGTGTATTTGTTTTTTCAAACAAACCGACGTTTCGGGCCCTTTACAGGTCCCACGGTTTACTGAGGTGGTACAGTCTTCAACCAGTTATGTCTAATATTGATGCAAACCACCCGATTTTTTCATCATAGTTACAATAGTTATTAATTAAATACCTTATTTTTAATTTTACAAAGAAAACATCCCAATTTACGCTACATTAAGTTTTACAAATTATTTTATTGAATGAATATATATTAAGTTCAATTTATTATTAATTATTAATATAAATTAGAATAAACTAAAACATATTAATTAGTCCTGGTCTGTTTGGGATTTTTCATTAGAGGAAATACTGGATCCCAAACTGGTGGTACGGAGAAACCATATAATAACTCACGTTTTTAAGTCGAATTTTTGCTCGGCGTGTTTCGTACCAATGCGTGGTTCTTAATTATGAGATTCCGCGGCAGTGACTCGACTTCAACTGCGCGCCAAAGCGCAAAGAGAACAGAATCTCTCAATGGCTTTAATTGATTCCGCAGAACAGCGAAAGTGTTGAATTAATCAATTTGGAAAAAATATATAGTAAAATTGACGATATACACTAATTACTTTAGTCTGTTTTATTCATAAAATTTTAAATAGTTATGTAGTTGTTGTCGATAGTATTATCGATAGATTGTGAATAAAGACCAAATTTTGCCCAAAATTCCTGAATTGTGAATGTTACGACGTCCTAATGATTGCTATCCTTTTTTTTTTTTTTTTTTGACGGGGGGGAAATCTTTATGGATACCCCTGAGCCCAGGGAGACTCAGGGGTTATGTGGGGACTCTCCTTCCAGACTGGAGGGCCTACCCCACTAAAACCCCCCCGGGTTTCCCTCTCGCCGGTTGAGTCGGCGCCGTGGGATCAGTGAGCATTCACCACGACGCCGCCCGGCCGCCCTAGCTTACGCCAGGGCTCCCGCGCCAACGGAGGGGCGAGTCGGTTGTCCTCCGACCCGCCCCCCAGACGAGTGAGGCCGTGCAATGCAGGCTCCGGAGTCCCTGTCCAGAGCCCGCTGGTCTCACTAGGGGATCAGGCGAGCAGCGAACTGCCTTCGCCTTCTCCCCGTACGTCTGCGCCGGAGCGGGTGCGCGTCCGCCGCACAAAGTGTTGAATTAATCAATTTGGAAAAAAATATATAGTAAAATTGACGATATGCACTAATTACTTTAGTCTGTTTTATTCATAAAATTTTAAATAGTTATGTAGTTGTTGTCGATAGTATTATCGATAGATTGTGAATAAAGATCAAATTTTGCCCAAAATTCCTGAATTGTGAATGTTACGACGTCCTAATGATTACTATCCTACTATATATGCCTTCTTTATTCTTATTTTGATGATGATCAGAAAAAAACACAAAGTCACCTCAAAATTTTTTTTTTTAAGAAAACCTCTGTATTTAGTAAGAACTTTACATACACCAATGATTTTTATATTATACGTGTTATATTTAGTTCATATGTCATATATGTACATATGTTACAAAAAAATTAATTCTGAAATAAAGCCAAGGTCTCTGCCGCTCGACCAAGGCAAAATGAATTAGTACGGGAAAAAGTTTAATTCGAGCAGAGGTAGTTCGACTCTTAAAGATCACGGACTGATAGGAAATACGTCGAGCAAAAATTCGACTTAAATACGTAGTTAGCCGGTAATAAGTTTAGTGAATGAATATTTTACTTAAAATTCAAGGTAACTTAACTTAACAAAAATACTACACGTAGAGCGAATATGTAGATATATTTTTTTTTAACGCACACACTCAAAGCCCCGCACTAGGGAAACTGTATCGCGGGTGCCATGGACACATGTAGACAACCACAAAATACACCCAAACTCACAAGAGAAATAAATGTAGGCCATACAAATATTTCTCCCGGCCCGGGAATCGAATCTGGGATCTCTGCGTGACAGTCCGTGGTAACCGTTCGGCCACGGAGGCGGTTAGAATCTAACCCTGGTCCTCTGCGTTGCAGACTAGTATGATGGGTATTATGTGGAGTTGCCTCCTTTTCGTCTAAAAGACGTTTTTTTATATCTAAATTTGTAAAAAACATGGAATTATACCAAATTTGGTTTTAGCCGTTTCCGCCCACGATTTTGGGCACAAATGGGTAAAAACCCGGGCGGGTTAATTGGGTTTTAGGCCACTGCACTATCCATCTGTACCGGCAGATTGTTATTGTATAAATAATTATACTTTGAATTTTCCGAAAATATGTAATGATTTTTTTTTATTTACAGATACCAAAATGGAGATAAAATCGCCAAAAATAAAGAAAAAATCGAGCATGTCCCGACTTGTTAGCTGGAGTAAAATGTTCCGGACACCGATTTTGGTAGTGTTCCTCCTCGGCACGTCCACTTGTGACACAGAAACGGACATTGTCGACCATGCCAACATCGTCGAACATGACACGAACATTGCAAATAAAAACTATAATTCAATAAACAATTTAACTTCAATTTTAAATTCCGAATACAGTGAAGCGAACATTTTAAATTTTTCGAATTCTGAACATCATCATCGTTATAGACATAATCGTGTAAATTTGAATGACAATTCTGTTAATTTAATCAAAAAACCTTCAATTACAAAACAAACTTCAATTAATTTTCCAATCATAAATAGAAACGTGTTAAGTGATATGAGATATTTGAGACGTAACTTGAATAAGCAAGTGGTGAATTTCATAATGACCGACGTTCTTCAAGATGGTGAAGTGGAGAATCGGATACATTTCAACGGGATAACAGCTAAGGAGACCTATGTTGGCTCTGATAGGTATGTCACTTTTTATTTACTTTTCGGAGTTTTTATTATTATAAAAATGTACCCTTATTATTCTTTCCTCTTCTTTTTATTGTACCTATGGCATGAGCCTCCTTTACACAGCCACTCTATCGCGTGTGATCAGGAGCGTACAGGATTACGCGCGACATACTCTGTACGCGTAATCGCGATTACTTGTTTGAAATTTTTTAAGCTAAAGTTCTTTCGCGCGCGATTGCTCGTGTTCGTTTTTGTTACAACGGAAGGGCGTCCATGCAAAGGCTAATATCGTAGGATAGACCGCATGAAACTGGCGCGTGTTGGAGACCGCGACTGATGAGAGCAATCGCGCGGTCTTTCCCTTTTCCTTCCAACGTCTTTACACGCGCGCTCAATCTCGCAATCTCTCGGCGCGCGGGTCTTGACGTCTTCACGAGCGGGTAGATCCACACGTCGAAATCGCAAACAGACGCTAGACGCTAGACCAAACACTTATTCAGAGTGGCGGCAGGCGCGGACGCGGGTGCGTGCGCGCCGCGCGGGTAGATCTATTGGATCGGTCCGTCCGTACCGTTCACAGTTCTTGGTCTAGCGTCTGTTTGTGATTTCGACGTGTAGATCTACGCGCTTCACGCGCTTGTAGCCGATTCGGCTATGTGAGAGGGAACACGTTAGGACCCGCACGCCCGCACGCGCCGCTGTACCCGCGCCTGCACTCTGAATGAGCCGTGTGAAAGGTACAGGCGGACCGAGCCAATAGATCTACCCGCGCCCACCTCGACACAGGCGCCGGCGCGCCCACCGCCACACTGAATAATGCCACTGTGTAAAGCCTGCTATTCACTATAATGTTTGCCATCGTTGTGAAAGTATTTGCTTCTTGTCGTCTGGAACTTGTCGATTGTTGCCCAATATGCACCAGATTTACAGGGACGTCATGGGTGGAGTCTCCTTTGGTGCACACCACTATACTACTTATTTATTGCATTGTACAGATAAAGATACAGAGAAAACTAACAGCAGGTAGAACTTGATTATATAACAAATAATAACATTAATTTCCAGTTAAAGAGTAGCTTAACTTAAATTGTACAAATTTAAGTTAAGCTGCTCTTTAACGCATAGATACAAAGAAAACATAGCATGAAAAAAAAATGTGTGAAAACTTTAGCACGTTTATTCGGGGCGTCTTCGACATAGAAATTTCAACAGCAGTAGAATTCGTTGTTTCGACAAGGAATTCGTTCAGCATTGCCATTTTAACTATTCCTGCTGCTGGGCAGTAATGTGAACATTACAGCGTTCCGGTTTTGAAGGGTAAAAGTGCTAATAAAATTACAGGCACACGGGACTTGTTAACGCCAGACAAACGACTTCTTCATCCCGTCTCTTGGTATCATGAAAACAACTGTCATGCTGTCCCCTACGCCTCAAAAGCCATCTACACGTCTAACTTGAATCCGTGTCATCACGCCATCGAGTATATAACCAGAAATAGAAACGAAATAAGGACCATCCAACCATCAGGCAAATGGGCGAATAGTTTATTTCTATTCCTCGTATTAATGTTATGTTTATCACTATTTAAAAAAAAATATTTTTCTTAACATACTGTGACGTTAGTGTAAGGATGTTAATCTTCTTAAACTTATCTCTCAGTCTGCACAGGCAGATTTAGCGGCCCAGCGCAACGCGCAACATACTATACGTGTGTAGCTCGATTACTACAGACTGATGTAGACATTTAGGTAATAGTTCTCCCAGAAGGAACAGCGATAGTTTAAAATGATTTACAGGAATAGTGGCTGGAAGGGTTCAGTGAGTACGAGAAAATCCGGATATCTTGGAATAGTGCTCGCATCAGGTGGGACAGAGGCTGTTCGCTCCAGTATCGTAGATGGGCACATGGCTCTCAAATAAAAGTTGTCAAGAATCTTAGTCAGGTTCTACTAGAATCGAAAGTGTTCTGATATGACGAATTTAAGATGGCCGCCATACGAAATTGACTATTCTGAATCTTCGCAGTTGTCAATGATATACGACTGGTTTGTTCTGAGATATTTAAGGATACAACTTGACGCGATCGTACCAACTACCCCTACATGTAACTTAACTGGAGCAGTCGACAACCCCGCTTCCTCTCATCCAAATGTCACGCCGGTCGAAACAGCCGGACCGTACAGACGGTCCGGCTATTTCGGCTGTCATAGCGTTAGCCGGAAAGCACCTGCGGCCGACTTATGTCATTAATAATTAATGTTAATTAGAAAGCTGAAATAGTACAGCACCTACAACTGACCTGTGTGTACGTCTCTGTATATTCCAAAGATATTGTGTATTTATTGTAATAAAGATAATATCTTTAACAATCGGGGGTTGTTCGATTCGGTGGTGTGGGAAAACATCTTTTTACAAAACAAACGGAATCACATTTCGTCGATTAACATGTAATTTTTCAATTTTCGTCCATTACAGCAAAGCTCAAGTTAAACTGGTCGATTTGAAGTAAAACAATTGACGACACCCGTCAATTGTTTCGAATTCGGGCTGGCCAATCGGAGCGCAGTTGTCATCGTAATGAGTTGGCAGAATAGTTTTCAAACAAATGAAATGACATTTCGTCTCTATTTCAGGTTATATACTCGATGCACAACGTAAACTTAAACAGACCAATCTGAATGTAGCAATTGGAAGCTTAACATAGTTACAACAAATAATGTATTTGCCTGATACAATAATACATTTTGCTTAATCTTTATTTGCGACTGTAGCGCCATTCACTTAGTTCTGAAACAAAGACACGGTTGTTCACAAAATGATGACAATTAATTGATAATGACATCATTTATGATAGTGGTTACGTTGTGTGTTTTCTGCAGTTAACTACTAGCTTATAATGTAACATACAATGAATTCTTTTACTTAGTTATCAATAGAAGTACATTATGTTAAAAATTACACCAAAATGGCTACTTAACCAACGATTTGCCCGAATGTGTACACAACTTAGCAGTCCGTTTGATTCTTTCTTAAAAGTCAGATTGAACTTAATATTCTTACGATTATTAAAGAAAGATCGAACGGGTAGAAAAAATTAATTACGATCCGCTTGGTTCCGAACCAACCTATCAAACCATGCCAGGCGCTATGCCGACTGAGCCAAGGAACAAACCAACGGACCTTACGAATTGTTACAAATCTTTCAACTTTTTTCCGGTTTTCAACGGTAAGGGTGCTGGTGAAATTACAGGCACTTGGGGCTTATCAGCTTATGTCTCAGAGTGACGGGTGCAATAATAATAATAATAATGATTTATTTCTCACAAAAACAATTGGTTACATTTCAGCCCGCCAAACTGCATAACAGTTTGTTGGCGGTGACAAACTCTCAAATATAACAAAAACTTACAATCTACCTGCCCACTATTATCAAAAAACTAATACAATTTATTAAACTTATTTTACTTACATATTAATAACTTAAAATATATATCTTATCTATCTTTAACATCAGCTAACATTTTATCTCTTATTTTCTTTTTAAAAACATACTTTGATACACTACTTTCATCTACAGGTAAATCATTATAGATGGATGGTACTAGGTAGTGTCTTGTTCTTTGAGCAAAGTAATTACAGGCTCTAGGTACAACATATTTCGAACTGCTAACAGATCTAGTAGCATAAGAATGCACAGCATAGTTTTTGAAATCATTGTTTCTATACTGCTCAAGAGCGATTAGAAATTTAACTTTGTCTTGAACTGGCAAAACCTTACAAATTGAGAATAATTCTTCATATCTCTTGTTACAATTGTCTTTAACCTTTTCATCAACTAATATTTTCAAAAACCTTATTTGTAGCTGCTTAATTTGATCCAAATAATACTTAAAAGTACGCCCAGAACTACTCAGACCATATTATGACAAAATAGACTCCGCCAGTGCAAAATATACAACAAATAAAGTAGCCCTATTAACAATAAATTTAAGATGAAAAATCTTTTCTAAAGTCAACCTTAATTTGGAACACACACTCTCCACATGCAACTTCCATGAGAAATGCCTATCTATTATTAATCCTAAGTATTTGAAACTATTAACTCAATCTATACAATCACAAATACAATTAATTTTTTGCTTATGTAGACATTCATAAGAATGGCCATAAATTTTAGGTTTATCTAAGTAGACCCTATAAAAAGACTTTGCTATAAGGTGAATATATGTGCATACATTTTGTCTTGTTAATATTTATAATTAAACCATTGTCGTGAGACCACTTAACAATATGGTCAAAATCCTCTTGTATTTTATTTTCTATATTTTTAAGATTAGTATCTGCATAGACCAAACAAGTGTCATCAGCGTACATGAAAACCTTACAATATTTAACTACATTACCCATAGAATTAACATGCATGCTATACCCCACCGGACCATATACTGAACCAGTGGGCACACCATAAGTAATATCAAATTTTTTACCACTCTGGCCCTCTATTACAGTTTGTAGTGTCCTATCCTTTAGATACGCTCGAAACCAATCTCCAAGTGGACCGCGAATGCCACATTCGTACATGGCTCGAAGCAACTGGCAGTGATCTAAAATATCAAATGCTTTTTTGAAATCCATGAAAATAACTACCAGTTGCTTCCGCTCGTTTAGACTTTCATTCACATAATCTGTGAAACCAGCAAGAGCTGACGCAGTACTACGACCTCTCCGGAAACCATGCTGTGTATCCGATACTACATTATGATACTCTAAAAACTTTGTCACTTGGTTCATAATAAACTTTTCAACTATCTTATTGATTACCGACAATATTGCTATTGGTCTGTAATTCGCATAATCAATATGACTACCTTGCTTATATAATGGTCTAATGTTAGCAACTTTAAGCTCCATAGGGTATACTCCCTTCTCAACACAAAGATTTATAAATTTTGCCAATATTGGGCTAAGCTTGTACCTGATCTGTTTAACGTCCATAACCCTAATACCATCAC